GCCAACTCTGCCATTCTCGTGCGCCTCCAGCTGTTTTGGGGTCTCCCTCTCTTTCGCTTCCCCTGTGGGTTCCACTCTAGTGCCCTCTTGACTACGTGTAAATAATGACATTACTCAATTTTATGTTCGTCAAAAACATTGAACTGGGTTCTCCGCCAAACTATTAAGCTGTACCCTTGGAAATGAGGAAACAACATTTGCGCTAATGTGTTTTGGTGTGGTTAAGTTCAAACTTTTTCATAAGATAAATCAGTCATGCCCATAATATGTGTTCAGTAAAAGTGTGTCAATCTTGTACTATCGTAATAAGAAAAACTTTTAAAGTGCCTATGAAAGGAAATGAAAAAGTTGCCTAGAATAACTCTTTGGTATTGATGATAATGTTTTGACTGTAATTTTTTCCATCATACCGTTACTTTTCTCCTCCGACCTTCACAAAGACACACGATCATGGGAGACATTTGCTTGCACAGCCATTTTGACTTGTCGACGTCACAGGGTTTGCATGTCTCGCGCCAATTTTTAAAAATTAAATACACAGTGAAAATAGTGATGGCAGATAGAGCTCCTACCAAATGAGGAGAGAAGTACTGTGTGGCAGAAAGCCCTGACAATGTTAGTTGTACCAATACAAGTTATTCTCTGGGAATCTCTATGCATAGATTTCCCTCCGACAGAGTATTATGTCAGAAATGGACTGTTTGTCAGAAAGCATTGGCCAAACTTCAAGCCATTGAAGCATTTGCCTCTTTGCTCCACGCACTTTGAGCCAACCTGTTTCACACAGGTCGCGTCCCTTGTGTCCCCCGATTGTACAAGATGTGCTTTAGGGAAGTGGTCAAAACTATGTTACATGCTAGGTACCCACTTTTGGAGGGACGGCTACATAAGAGGCCATGGGTCTCCTGAGGGAAGTGGGAGCTACTTAAGAGGCCATGGGTCTCCTGAGGGAGGTGGGGGGCTACTTAAGAGGCCATGGGTCTCCTGAGGGAGGTGGTGGGGCTAGGTTAGAGGCCATGTGTCTCTTCACAGAGGTGGGTGGCCACCTAAGAGGCCATGTGTCTCCTGACAGAGGTGGGGGCTACTTAAGAGGCCATGTGTCTCCCGACGGAGGTGGGGGCTACTTAAGGTGGTATGGTACCCTAAAATGGACCAAAAAGTTTGTTTAAACATGGTGAAGAAAGATCAATTGTGTGCTATTGCACTCAAGAAGAGAAATTAATTTTGTGAGCTTTACTCAAAATGGTTGCTATGGAAACCAGCCACAGCCTTTTGAGGTAGTGTTTTACAATATTGATGCCAACACTTTCTGCTCTTTTACAAAACAAGATTTGACTGTCAAATAAGCATATTGTGTAAGTTTCCGTTTTCTGTTTTGTTCTGTGCATTGAACCGAAGTTTTGACAGTTAACTCTTATTTTCAGTGCTTTTCACAGGCTTTGTTTGGAAATAACCTTATTTTAAACCACACCCATTGGGCAAATCCTGTCATGACACGTGACAGATGTTAAAATGCAACAATTTTTTCGGTTTATATCATCACGACACTATTGGTCTTTGATGAGCCTAAGTTTCAGGAATTCTACTTAAAAACCTTGCAAAGTAGAAATGTTGGCACGAAGTCAGTTGGTACAAAAGTAAACAATTGAGAAAAATGCACTTTAATTTTCTTACATGAAGTATTAAGCATTTAACAAGCCACAAATAGCGGGGGGTGCAGATTGGATCTCGGGGGAGGGGGTGCAATGGTTGTTCTATTTTGTAAAAAGTTACCACAGTTGTGGGAAGTAATCCTTTTCATAAGGGAATGAATGAGCTGGCCTGTGTCACAGCCGCCTCTCCCCGGAAAAAAAATCGGAGAGAGACGTCTGTCTTACCGTTGATAATCGTGTCCGAGGTCACATGACTTTTCCAGGAATGTGTGGAAAATGATATGCTTGGCTATGATATTATCACGCGAAACTTCATTAATATCCTCTACAGACGCAATCTTACAAGCGATTGACCAAACTAAAGCTACAGCAGTAGTGTACCTAGACATGAGCAAGGCCTTCAACAGTATCAAGCATGAAATTTTAATAATGAAACTAAAGAACATTGGCCTCTCCTTATCTGTGTTAACATGGTTTTGTAGCTATCTGTCCCAAAGATCTCAGGTAGTTCACATAAACTCAATGCTATCAGACGCCCTACCCGTTACTTATGGCGTCCCTCAAGGCAGCGTACTCAGGGCTCTGCTGTTTAGTATTTATGTAAATGACCTTCCAGCAAACAGCGAAAGTTGTTCAACCGAATGCTACATGGACGACACCAAACTTTTTTTGTCTTTCAAAGTTGGTGATGCTGACGAAGCAAAGGACCTTAGAGGATCTCCAATCTGGGGATCAGCAACACGAATCACACGATAGTGATGTGTTGAATAGAATCTCAGTCAAGCCATATCCAGTTTCTGCAGTTACTTTGACTCCTTGCAAGGACAAAGGCCATCCTGCTGCCTTTCCATCAATACCTGTTTCACCAATAACCGGCTGGGAAGGTGACGAGACAAGTAGCCGAGCAAAGAAGACACACGTTCTGGTTACAGTTGAATGGCCAAGGAAAACCAAAGACAATGTATTGCACGAAGGACTCGAATCTCTTGGCAAGATGCTCTGCCATGGAACTTATAAGCAGATCGCTGGAGCTGTTTGGAGAAACCCAATTTTGAAGAAGCACCTTCAGCGGCTTTTTTTGCATGAAGTGGATCATGAGTGTACCGCTCTGTGTTCTTTGAAGAACCCAAGTTGCCTCAGATCCCCAAAAAGGAGGATCTTCAGTCGTTTTCGTTCAAGAAGTTTACCAACGAACTCGAATTGAAGGCGCCCTTGTTTAGCACCATTCTATGGACAGCGAGTGTCCGAAAAGGTAAACGAGAGGATGAATTTTGGGTTCCAGCAGTGTGTATGTCCGCCACAGTTTTACTCAAGAACAGATTCCCCTGCATGAATGCCATGCAGTTGTTAAACATAATCATTTTGTACCTCACAGGAATAATTGTGAGTACTGAGTTTATTGATATTATTACAAAAGCAATTTAGTTATCACTAGGTAATAAAACTAAGGGATTCAAGGACCCACTACAGTCATCATTGATATCTACAATTATAGTGTTAGTCAGTATGTATAGTTTCATTAATGTGGGAAAGTCAATTGCACATATTCAGTTTGAGCAAATGGCAAGGAATTTGCCTGAAATGTTCTCATATAGCTAGAATCCTCGCCAATTCCACCACATCGCTTGAAATAGTCGTTCATTTACTTTGGCTGTTTCAACTGTATTGAACATTATTTGTCAATTAATACCACTGTGAATGGCATGGCAAGTAAACTGCTCATGACTGTTGCTGATTATTTCTTAAGTGTAGTTTTGTCATAATTACTGTATTAAAAAATAGTGAAAATTTAAATAAAAAATATTTCAGAACTTGAGGGACAACAAAATACAGTACTTGCAATGGCATGAAATATTTTTGCAGTGAATATTTGCCCCTAAAACAGAAAATCATGTGTTTTTTTTCCAATATTTTTCAACTCAAAATGGCTATTTGGGTTTACTAGTGGATCGTAGGCTGGAAAAAACTTCAAAACAAGCGTTCTATGGTACGGTATTTTTCTTATGAAATTGCTGGAAATCTGTCCGCCACTACTGAAATCGTGTTCCAGTTGAGTCCACGGAATGGCAGCCGAATGCATCAATCATGACGTCAGACTCTCAACCCTCGTTCTTGATTTCAGTGTTGTTTAGTAGGTTTTTGAGTGAAAGTTTGAGGAAATGTCCAACGTTTCTGACGAAGATTTCTCTGAAACTTCTTCAATCAGTGGATCAGAGTCTTCGACTGAATCTTCTGAAAGTTATTTGACAGCTGAGGACGTAGAACGATATGACGACAGTTTAGAGCCAATTGCGACCGAAGAGGAGATAGCCAGCTACGCAGAGCAGCTTGCTATCAAGAAGAGGAGGAGGAGATGCTCTGGAGCAGATTTTTTGGTGAAGTTGATGTTGGAACTTAGTCTGTACTACTTTTCTCTTTGCTTCTTTTGACTATTGCGAGCATTTATCTAAACTTACTCACTTTACAAGTCAGATCGCGAGAGGCTATTGCTGGATGTTCAGTCGCTCTCTTACCTACAGTATTGCTATCTACAGTTGTGAAACTTATTCACGGGCCATTGGAATGTTGCAATCTTTCAGGTGCAAATGCTCTAGCTGTTCATTGGAGTTTGTTGTAACGCCTGATGAGTGCAGATGCTGTTCGGAAGTTGATCGCTGTTTGGAAAAAATGGAGGAAATAGATGTGGAAGGCGCCTGTATTACAACACATTCAGGCTTTGATACTGTTTGCCTAAAC